ATATTTATATATTTATATTTGTACCAGGGATCTAACTCAGGACCTTGAACTTGTGAAGCAGGCACAGTGCCACTGATCTAAATCCCCAGCCCTAGGAGATTTATTTCTAAGGCTTTCATGACAATGTACCTCTTAGACTCCCAGTTGCTGAGAATATAACAGGTCCTTGTTAAGCGCTGGAGCCCACTGCCTTACTTGTGATAGGCACATGTCTTCTCCTTGGTGCCTACACAATGTCGGGTATGGCGCTGATAGGAAGGCGGATGTGCTTCTAGGCCCAAGACTGCCCAGATGGCTATGCTGAAATTCCCTTAAACCTGAAGGCCCTGCCGTAATACTTCTACCCAGATAACTTCCTTCCTTCTCTCTTTTCTTCTTTCCTTTCTCTGTTTTTCTTCCAAGATCGGAGCAAGCCTCTCCTGGATACCTCCCTTTTCTGGCAGTTTTCCTAATACATTTATAACATATTTGATCTGGTACATGTGTTTGTTTCTTAGAAGAGATAGACAACCAGTAAAGAAAAAATGTCACAATAGTAAGAAATGAAGCTTAGCACTAAAAAGTTAAAGAAAGAAAGATTAATAAGCAAATTAAGTTTTTAATTTGGCCTTCATAGTTTAATTAGACCACCGAGTATTGACTGCAGTCTCCCTTCTTTACACACAGCTTCAGATAAGGGTTTACCTGTATAATTTAGTGGTTCACATACGCTGCCCTCCATCACAGATATCACATTGAAGAGGAAGCTCCTGCTGTCCTGAGACCAGACAGAAAGACCTGAGGGAGCCAGGCCTGTGCCTGCCTCCCCATCTTCTTATTCCTTTTCACTGGGCATTTGGAATGAAGTTATCACTGGGACAGTATCCAGGAAATGGAATCAATCTTCCCATGCCCTAGGAAATACAGATAGGTAAAGATACACCTCATCTCACTGACTAGCAACAATGAATGGAACAAGCTCTATTCTGGCCCAAACCATAGTTAATATAGTTTTTGATCTCATAAAATTGTAAAGGGATAAATTAATTTTCATTTTTTGTTCTTTTATTGAGTTTATGGGTACATTTTAGGTATATAGTACAGTTACATTCATCATTGGGATCTTGTACCTTTACATGACAGGTCTTGGTTCTCATTTTTTCCCCTTGTCCCTGCCCTCCCTTCACCCTCTCCTCCCCTTCCCATTTACAAACACTTTATTTCCATTTTTTCATTTTCTCATACTTTTTTCTTTTCCCTTATTACCTTTGCCCTACCCTTCCCACTTTCCCTACACCTTTAGCCCTTTTCTTCCTATTTCACATGGTCAATTATCTCATTAGGATCTTATGTACTATTATAGATTTTCACACCAGATAATTTTCATTTTTAAATATACTTAAACTTCCATTTCTGCCTCAATTGAGACTATTTTTAATGTGCATAATCAATTAATATTCTATTGCCTTAAAAACATTCTTTTCTAGGAATACAATTTAATATTCAAATATTTTTTACTGGATTTGACATGAGAATGATGAAATTATGATAATTTTTCCAAAAGCTTCTTTTGGAATCCTTAATTATTATATTAGCATCAATTATAAAAATACAGATGCTTAAGTTATTTAAAATTCAGTATCACCTAAAAATAGGAATAAGACTTCATCCTGCCGATGCCTTGATGACCAGGAAACTGTGCTATGATCAGTGTTTAAAAATGATCTTATCTGGCAAGGCACTGTGGCAGAGTCATATAATCCTAATACTGAGGGAAACTGAGTCAGGAGGCTCTCAAGTTGATGTCCAAGCAGGGCAACTTAGCAAGACTCTGCCTCAGAATAAAAATAAAAAGCACTAAAATGTAGCTTTGTGACAAATTACCCCTGGGTTTGATCACCTGTTCAGCAAAACAAAATAAAACAAAGCCAAAACTCTTATTTCTATTTGAGGAACACCTTTTTTCTTTCTCTGTGTGATAAGATCTTTCCGATTTTATTTGTAATGATCCTATTGTTTGAGGGTTTAAGCTTAAATATTTGAACTGTTTGGAAAGGAGAATAGGTTATAACATTCGAAGTAAATTATATGCATGCATATACTGTATAACATTTACTCTGTCCAAACCATGATTATAAATCACTGGTAAAGTTTTTGAAAGAAATAATACCTAGATTGTAATTTAACAATTTCAGTTCAAGTGAATCTGCGAGTTTACATCTCATTCCTCTCAATTTAGAAGAGTGACTCTCCTGTTCAGCTGGGTTAGGTACTAAAGGCAGAATGTAGAACCAATTTCTTATGGACCCAGTTCTGTAGTAAGACCTCAGGCAAGGCAGCTAGTTTCTCTCTATATATCTTCATTCTTAAAAGAGAGTTGAATTAGGGAGACTTGAGGGTTTATTTCCAGCTCTGAAGTTGTCTGGTTCTTTCTAAATTTAAATTTATTTCATCTTGACATTTGAATACCTAATTATCACAGGATAACACATTCAAAAATGACAAAAAGTGGTGGCTATGGTAAGAGGAAGTGTCCAAGTTTGCATCTATTGACAAAGACACCCTCAGGAAATGGACTGTAATGAAGTATGTCCTTCTTTCCAAGACAGATCTGAATGTTATGTCATATAATGAGGCTTTTGAAGTTCCAAGAACTGAAAATTCTGTTCAAGGATCTCCCATCATGGAAATGGAACCTTCCAGTCAAAAGAGCTAATTCATTGTGGGAAAATGACACCAAAAATATCTACAATTTCTTAGTCATTAAACTAGCTTTGTGCAATTATTATCAGTTTAAAACCATACTTGTTTGGTACACATTGTGCAAAACAGATACTAAGTTCAGCAACAATGAAGTATATTCCGGGTAACTGGAAATACAGTGATTTGCTTTGTTTTAAGCATAATTCTTTCTTACTTAATTTGTATTAGTACAATTTTGCAGTATATAACAATTTTATATATATATATATATAAGTTGGTATATATATATATATATATATACATATATGTAAGTTGGTGTATATCTATATAGATATATAGATATAGATATGTCTATATATCTATATATATCACATCTTAATTCTTTTTTTCATCCCTTTTCCTCCCCTCCTTCCTCACTCAATCCATCTTGTGGTCACTTTCACTTTCCCTTTGGAAAAAGAAGCATTTCTCTGTATCCTATTATTGATCTTTTATTTCATTCATTACTTTTATATTTTGAATTTCTCATATGAGAGAAATCATGTAATATTTAAGCTCCTGTGTCTGATTTATTTCACTCAACATTATTGTCTCAGGGTGCATATATTTTCCTACAAATTACTCAAGTTTGTCCTTCTTTATGAAAGAGTAGTACTCCATTGCATAAATATAGCACATTTTAAAATCCGTTTATCTGTTGATGAACATATGGGCTGTTTCCAAGATTTACCTATTATGAGTTGTGATGTTATAAACATGCTTATACATGTATCATTGTAATATGATGTCTTTAATTATTTTGGGAAGATATCTAGAAGGGGAATAGCTGGATCAAATGGAATTTTTAGTTTTAGTTTTTTTTAAGAATTTCCACATTGATTTTCATAGTGGTTGTACTAGTGCACATTCCCATCAGCAATGCAGCAGGGTTAATAATTGTTAAGTATTACTTTCTTCTAGCAGTCAAGATAAACAAGACAATCATATACGAAAGAATTTGGTATTAGCTTTGTTGTGAAATATTAGATACTCTTTACAGGTTGCAACAGGTTAGGAATTGTTTATTTACTGGCAGTACTAAGTGAACTCCAAATGAAAATACATGATACAGCATTACATGATGTTAGGAATTTGCTTTATTAGATTCTGTCTTACGTAGTTAGTTAGCTTGCCACTCCTGATAGGTTAAAGCACACCAGGAGAATACAAGATATGCACTTTAATATCAGATACAAGAGGAATGGGACTTTTAGTTCTGGAGCCTAAAAGAGGAGGCAAACAAGTACAAAAATATGATAGATGCTTAATAAATATTATTAAATGAATGAACATGTTTTTATGTTAGATTGCTCAATTTAGTGTCTACCATTAAAGTCAATGAATTGACTTTTTCCATAACACATGGAAAAAATAGTAGGAAGTGTATAAATATATAAGCATATTTAGATGTCACTAATATACATACATCTTTTTTGGTACCAGGGTCGAACTCGTGACCTTGCACTTGCGAGGCGGGCAGTGGAACCACTGAGCTAAATCCCTGGAAGATGTCACTAATATTAATTATATCTCTGTTGTAGTATGCAGCTGTTTGAGGTGGTTACTTTTATTTCCTTCTGAAATATTGAAATAAGGGACATGAGAAATTCCTTGAGCCTGAGCTTATGAAGTGCTATAACCTGTATTTTAACTTTATACTGAGATTTTTCAAAGGATATATCTTTCAGAACCTCAGAGGAAACTATATTTTATATAGCTGATGCAATCAACTTTCAGTACAAAAACAATACTTCTCAGAAAGCTTATAAGAGTTCCAAGTACTCTGAATTTCAAGATTCAAACAAAACAGGCCAAAGGTAATTATCTGATAACAGGTACTTCCATTGACTTTTCCCTTTCTGTAGCCCCCCAATCATTTAAGAGTAAATATAAGGGGAAAAATTACCTTAACAATTCACACACAGAGGAATAGATGTGCCAGGATTCCCCATGGAGGGAGCAGGTGTGAGTAGAAAGAACTGTTTCTTTCAGAACCTTATGCATTGTGACTCAGGAAAAAAAAAAAAAAAAGGTTTAACTTATATTGAAACTCATATCCATAAAGCTAGATTAACCAAATTAAATTATGCCCACCAGCCTTGAGAAATTCAAAAATTGAAAAAAAAAAAAAAAGGTGGTGGTTGTTTGGTCTGTACTGCAGAGGTTTTGTTTTTTTTTTGTTTTGTTTTGTTTTGTTTTTCCTATTTAAATTCAGGATATGCCAGGTCACAGCCCTTGTTCCCACAGAAACAAGCCATGCCCCGTACATAGCCAAGGTAGGTGAGGGAGACAGCAGCAGCTCCACTGTGGCTGCGCCCCAAGGGAAGGTGACACCCTGGATTTCCCTGGAGGCAATACTACTGGTTCATCTGTGCTTCTGCTGCTGTTCTTTCCAAGAGTTGGACTTTGCAACACCTTTGACGTTACCTTTGAGGTTGTCTCGTCACTTATATTTGACATTTACCACTCTACTTGCCTGCCCTTGCAGTTTGCTGGGTTTCTTTCCTTTCCTATCCTTGTCTAATCTATTTCATACAATCTTTTAAAGCCCTATTTCACACATAGTTAATTTGGTCTTTTGAATACAAATGTTTAATTCCTTTGATCTTTATCAAATGCAGCTTTAGTCACTCCAGGTAGATTTCTAAGATCCACAGGGACAAGAACTAATTCTTTTAAGCCATCCTCAGAATTAGGACAATACTTAGCATATAATAAATCTTCAATATGTGATGGACAAATGTCTCACTTCAGGGTCCTATTCTCTGTAAATACTTTGATGCATAGCCTAGGTATCTTCATTTTCAACCAGCAGAGATTTGGTGATAATCACTTGGTTTCTCTAGAGTGGATTGTTGTTGATAAACTTGTCTTTCTGTCTGTACTATTCATGGCACACAGATGATAATCATTAAAATTGTCCCAATCGGGTTGTGTGTTATTGGCCGAAATCTCAGAGGTAACTTGCAGGCTGGCTATCACCACTGTGGCACTGAAGCAGTAACCTTGTATGGAATTCACTTGCCTAATTGTAGGCTATTCTTTATGTATTGTATAAAAGGGCATTGCCACAGCTGCTGCATTAAGCAATGGCTTGAGGTATCTGTCTTCAAGGTCACACAAACACACTACTATGCCTTTACAGAAGAATAAAGATTCCAATCCATTTTTTAAAAAATTCTCCGAAGAGCTCTTTGTGAATAGCCTCTGCAAGATCTCCTCTTCATCTCTTCATCTAAAAAATACACTAAAGATATTTGGTGTGTGAGCTTTAAATTTCTGGCAATTCCTTTGCTATGAATATATGAAGTGGTCTACTCTTCGAGGCCCTGAGAATGTTGAGATTGTTTTCCAAGTATTAAATTCAGAGCTTGCTGCTGAAATGAGAGCAAGTGAAGTGCCATAATTTTTCTAATCTGGATTTTCTGAGTGTAGTCTGAACATTTTAAAAATCCTTACCTGATCTCAGAATATCTTCCTGAGCTGAAAAGCAAGGACAATTACTACAATTACTGCTGGTATTATCCTTTTCCTGTATAGATGGCATCTTTTGAAAGGAATATATTTAATATGTAATTATAAAAATGCTTATTTTAAAATCTTACAGCTCTCTTCCACTAGATTACTAATTATGAATTCTCTGGAAATTGCTCTGTTTTACTCTGTTTAATTCTATCATTAAAACTTTGAAGCCTTCATGAATGAAATTATGATTTTTTAAAAGAACCTGTTCTTTTTATGGATGAATGTATTGTTTTCCTGTACATGTGAAAAAGAGAAGTCCTTTGATACTAAACATTTGTGTAAATATCAACAGTCCCTCCTAAGATGTAAGTGAGGAAATAACTCCTTCTAGATATAAGGAAACCACTTCCTATAGGGAGGCATTGATTTACTGTTCTACCCTGTATAATCCAATGAATTCATAAGGCATTATTTTTGCAATGCAATAAAATCATTAATCCCTAAGAAGCTAGATTATTTTACAGGGATGATTTTAGACTTTAAAAAATGCAAGCCAATTTAAGACTAAGAAGAGATTATAATACTTTTATTATTTGGCCAATATGCAGCCAAAGAGGGTATGAGCAGAGCAGTGGGGAAAATAAACAGGACTATACTATTTAAATTTGAATTTCCTCACTCCCACCCCAATTAGGACAAAATAGCTTTTTTAGCATTTACTGTCTGTTAGAAGTTTTGCTTTGAAAACAAAATTAATATTCCTTAGAAATGACAATACACATATTCATGAAAAGTCTTTCCATCTAAAGTGTAGATGGGATTTTACAACTTGAATTTCACATGAGTCTATCTGTTCTTCAGTAGGTAGCAGCCAAAAATTACAAACAAATGACCCTTACATTATGTTGTTAGATAGCAGCACAGAGTATTTCTCAGCTTCAGCTCCTGTCTACAGACTAGACCTATTTAAATGGCTTAGCCTGTTTAATGAGCTCCAAAAATAAATGTATGTTATAGAGAAAACTAAAGCACTTCCTCTATTTACTGAGCAATGACAGAGGGCACCCCCTCAGTATGTGACCCGAATAACCCAAATCAGATTTAATTCCATATGGGAACCTGGGATTACACTGGAACTGGTATCTGGGTCTAACAGGGACTGCAAAAGCATCTGTAGTAGGTGGCACAATCTTGAATCTTCTGTGTCCTAAGACTGAGTTCATCCTGGGAATAAAATTAATTCACTCATTCTTATTTTTATCATGAGTTAAAAAGAAATTTAAATTGAATGCAGTTTCCTTGGAATTTTATAGCTCATCTTGTAATGAGAAACGAACCAATAAGTAATCATGGTATTTCTAACTGTGCTCAAAATAACAGGGGAAAAAAAATTTCCGGATGATATCACTTCAGTGTACTGACCTAACGCATAGGCTGAGAGGTACCCGGAGAGGGATTGCACAAGGGAAGGAGATGTTGCCATTGTCAACCCGTTCTTAAAAACATTCGAATAATGCTGGTGAGAAAACGTATGCCCCTGCCAAGACTGCAGTGCAAATGGGTTTATCCAGGTTATTTTTGGTAAGTGATACAAGATGGCAAGGGAGACTAAAGGTAACATGGAAAATGTGTTGAAAGGGTGAGGCAGCTGTGCTTCCCTCTCACTGCAATTCACTGAAATCCTAGGATGGCCTTGAACCTGGTGATGTGATGGGAACAATGGGTGGAGAGAAAGTGAAACAAAAAGCAAGACTGGCAACATGTTCCTTTCTGATATCGGATATGGCTAATATCTATAGCAGACATAAATAATGTAAGATATTCATAATGTAAGATTAAATATGTCAAAATAATAACATTCTAAAAGGAAAGAATTTGTAGCTCAAAGAAACTTAATGTTTTCCATCTATAATGAATTTTATTTCAAAAAGACTAACACACTTGGGGATTCAGTATTTACACAGTCATCCTCCTGGTCATGGTAGACATTTTGGGGCCCCAGGTGGTCTTAGCTCATTCAAACTTAGTTGAAAGAACTGGTTCTGAAGAAATGGCTAATTGAACATCCCTTTACATACCTTCTCTGCTTCAAGAAAGAGTTTCCATGATACTGAGGTTATAGCTTAGGTAAAGAACTTCTTTGTTGTAAATTTTTTTTTCCCCAAGAGATGAGTCATGATTTTCTAGTAGTAAGATTTCAAAGAAACGTTATAGATTATAGGTAGAAGAAAACTTTTGTGGAGGAAAGACCTAGAATACAATAGATCCAAAGGAGGGATCATGGATGTGAAGATGTTAAAGTCCAAACACATTAAGTCCTTTCTTCTTCTCCTTTTGAAGAACACACTTTTCTTCATTAATGTGTTTCTTCTTTCTCTTCACCAGACCTACTTTTACAGTCTGTAATCACGCCCAGTAGAAGTCACACAGTAAAGAAGGCTTAATAACACTTTCTAAATACCAAACTCATAAAGTATACTGTAGCAATGCATGTGGCACACTCTCTTTTGAAATTCTGTCTCAGAAAATTTTGGCAGAGAAGAAAACTGTCTAGTTTTCATTTCATGTGAAAATGCATTTCATTGGTTTCATGTCAAAGGTCTGTGACTGCATAAAGACTCATAATCTTTGCAAACACAACAATGACTCAACAGAGAAGTGTTGCAAAGCTGTAAATCAAAACATGGCAATTAACTTCAGAGGCTGTTGATGTTAAAAAGAATTTGCTAACCAAAGAATTGAATACCCATAATTACTTGTCACTTGTAGTACAGTTCCTGCACCTTGCCGAAGTCAATTTCTTTACATCGTGAATCTAGCCAATAAGAACTTTTAATACTAAACTTTCATGTACAACAAAACATAGAATAATAAGTAACAACTGCAATTTAATAGTCAAGATGGAGGAATTTACTTATACATAAAGCAATGAAAATATCTCTGCCAATATGTCAAATCTAGTAACATGGCTCAAATCTATTCCCTTACTTCTATGCCTCATCAACATGCAAAATTGAAAGGTAAGTTTCAAATATATCATTAAAATTCTCCATTACCATTTTTCTTGGCATGCAAACGAGATTTCAGCTGTTTTAATCAGTGTTAAAAATAAGCGACATGGAGTTAGTTGCTTGTGTGGATATTATTTGGAGTCCAATTTTTAGTAGTTATGTAAAGAACTATAACTTTTCTTAAACACTTGAAATTTTGAACCCTAATCAAATATTTGATGATATTAAGATATTTCATTAAAGTGTTTTCTTAGGTGGGGGAATTGTATTCTTTAAAAAGAGTCTATGGATTGTTTATTACAGTTCATCATCTTAATCTTCACACAGTAGTTGATCTTCAGCTGTGTCTAGAGCTATGCACTCCAAATAAAGAATTTGACATTGGGCCATTACCAAGTAGTAATTACTCCACCCCTATTCACAGGTCTTGCCCACCCCATTTTACTGTTTTAAATTTTACTTCACACTTGAACACTTGCCACTGGATTCTAAGCATTTCAAAATGATAATTTATTCTTTATAAAGTAAATGGAATCTGTGTTAGCTGTTCTGACATAACCCACTTGATGTGATATGTTATGTCAACTTTGATGTCATTGCCAAAAGATCTGCCATGAGCACACTTGGCATTAGCTCTTTTTAAATATGTAAACTTAGTTATCCCAAAGCAGTACATATGCATGGTTTTTAAAAAATCATGTAGTATGACAAAAACTTTGGAGAAAAGCAGCCAGTCTTTGCACTTTGCCATCCTGCCATCTCAAATGTCCAAGCATCTATCAATGTTTTCCAGTCAAACCTGTCAAGAGAAGCAATATACTCCAGGAAAAAAGTAATTATTACCTTTGCAAATATATACTAATAAAAAAGCCACCAGGAATCAGCTGTAGCTGTACAAGTAGAACTCATTTTTAATTTTGATGAGGGAGAACCCATACCATGAGTGTAAAGGGATTTGGACTTCGATAGGGTGATTTGCTCTGAATTGAAAGTTGAGTAAAAGTGGGAATAATCTTATGATTGGTTACCTCAAAAAATCTTTAATTTTTTCCCAGTGCTATGTGCATGCTTCACAAGCACTGCATAACCCTAAACTGTTTCTACAGCCCTGTCTGTAGAGAGAGCAGCCACAATAAGTTCTCAGGGCAGTTAGGGGAAGGGAATGTATGGTATTTGGTACTTGGATGAACTTCATATCTTATTTATGTTTAGCTTTGATTACAAAATTGTCTTCATTTTGTCTTGATATATCATAATGACAATTGTTAAGACTGGAATCTTAAATATTCCCTGAAACTCATGTGTTGAAGGCCTGGTCCCAGCTGATAGCTTTTCTGGAAGGTAGCGGAAACTTTAGGAGTGAGGCCTAGTTGGAGGATGTAGGTGATCAGGCCTTGCCCTGAAAGGGTATATTGAGACCTTGACCCCTTTCTCTCTGTCTTTGCTTCCCGCTTGCCATGAAGTAAGCAGCTTTGCTCCTCCACCAACTCTGCACCCTTGAATTCTTCTTCCCACAGGCCCAACGTGACGAGGTCAAGCCAACCATTGACTGAACCTCTGAAAGCATGAGCCAGTAAATTCATTCTCCTTTTATGTTGATTTTTCTCAGGTATTTTCTCCTAAGTTAACTAGTTCAACGATGTTTTGTGAAATTTTTGTGTTCACTAAGAGAATGCTGACACTCAGCCATTAGGTACCAGGCCAGGTTGAGGCAGCACCAAGGCTAGCTGGTGTACTAGCTCCTAGAAGTCAGAACGTTTTCCTCTTTTCACCTCTCCCCCAGATGCAATTTCTTAGCAATTTCATCACTCACTAAACTCCAGATTTCTGCATATTAATTTCTCTGATTTTACATATTTTATTTATCTTTAAAATAATTGACTCTCTACTATAGAAACAATCCCTTTTTCTCTCTTATATCCACCCTAATACACACATACTTTGCATATGGATCCATTCTGGTAATATATTTATAATTTATATTTTAAAATAATTACATTTTCATCATTATGGCTATGTAAATACACATCAGAAATACATAGTATACAATAAATATATATCCTCCCTCTTACAAATTTATTTCATATTGGTTTTAGTACTTCTCTGTTATATAGAAGGATATATTTGAGTCATCAGTAGGAAAATGGATGCGCCTTGAATCCATTATATTAAACAAAATAAATCATACAGGTAAATATAAATATCATATGGTTTATCTTATGTAAGAAATCCAAACTTTAAAAAAAGAGCAAAGTAAAACATAGATAATATGAAATACGGAGCTAGATCTTTTGCAAATGGGAAGGGGACCAAAAGAGGGGGAAGGGGATACAAAGAATTAAAATGTGTCATGTATATGTACCAGTTACCCATAATAAATGTATTCACAATGTACCACAAACATGCACTATTAAGAACACTGCCTTTGTTTTATTTGTTCAGTTATCACTGTCTTTTTCATGATTTTCCAGTAAGAATAGCAAAGCATCCAACAATTCTTTGATTCCTTTTTTTCTGCTTTCACAGCTTCGTAGGCTGCTTAGATGACTCCTACAGGCTGATCTGCAGGCTCTTGAGGCCATGGATCTGCAAGCTCTTGAGACTGCTCTTACTCTGGAGTTTCATGTTAGCCATTTGATTTGGCTCTCTCCTCTGTTGGATTTTCTATTACCTAACCCTGGTGTCTTCTTTTTTTTCCCCTCATGTTATTTATTGTGTTGCTTTCAATGGAGCATATCCTTTAATTTCTTCCTAGGAAAGGATTCCTGAATCAAATACTTTGACATTTGCATACTTGAAAATTTCTTTTCTCCCTCCAATTGTACCAGATCTTTCAGAAAATACCACTGGAAGGAGAATTAGAAAGAGATTTCCCTTAGAATCTTGAAATCACCACTCTGTTATTTTCTGGTTCTTGGTGTTACTGTTGTATGGCTTCTGATTTAAATGTGACCTCTCTTTCTTCTTTGCAGGTTGTTAGGAGGCTGTCATTGCTGTTTTGAATTTTAATGGTGATATGACTAATTATGATTTTTTAAAAACATTTGGTGGATATTATGCTTGTTTTTGGATGCTTTGAATTTTCATGGTTAATTATTTCCCCTCCCCCATGTGTTGCCCTTTCGGTCTAGAAGATCATGTCTTTTAATTTGGTGGAACGTTCTTATATTATTTCTTTGATAATTTCCTTTTTTAAAATTTTCTTTTAGAATTCATATTAGTTGAACCACCTGATTTATTTCACCTTTTTTTACTTAGTTCCTCTTTTTTCTATGGTTTATCTGTGTCTCTTCATTAGGACTTTTGAAGGATTTCCTCAAGTGCTTCTTCCCACCCATATACAAATTTAAAATTTTCTGTTAAAATATTTAATTTCTGAAAGTTCGGTGCTTAGGCTAAGCTGATTTTTTTTTTTTTTTTTTTTTTTTTTTTTTTTTTTTACAAATTTTTTTTTTATTTTTTTTTTTTTTTTTTTTTTTTTTTTTTTTTTTTTTAGCAAATCGTTTTTGTCTTTTGGGTACATTTTCTTGTCTCACCCTTGATTCTGAGAATGTTAATTATAGATATTTG